GACAGAGTGAGACCCTGTCTCAAAATAAATAATAGAGGTAGAGTGGGCTCCAAATTGGTTAACTGAGCAACTCACCGATGTCACCAAGGACTTAGGTTTATTTCATTTTTTTGCTTTGCCATTCTTGGTATCTTTCTCAGCTGGCAGGAAGATGGTGGTAGAAATTCCTAGACCACACACAGATAAAGCAACATACAGAGGAAGAAAGGGACCATCTCTTTCTGTGTTTCTTTGTTAGGCGTGAAAAAATCTTTTCCAGAGCTTCCTGGGCATCTTCCTCCTATGTCTTATAGGCTAGCATTGGGCTACATGCTTACACCTAAACCACCACTTAGGCTAGTTCACTTTTATGCCTGGAACAGGGGATGTGAGTCATTTTCCTCCAAGGTGCTTGCAATCTGTACACATCTGGGAATTGTGTTAAGAGGGGCAAAGAGTGGACAGTTTCCAGTGTCCACCCCTGACTGTCTTGAAGTAAGACTGGAACCAGAGGCTCTGCTTTCCTCATGTCAGCGTTGTTGCCAGGACCACTCTTCTAATGTTTGCAGTGATAACTGCAGTCATTTTAGACTTCATATAATTTAGAAAAAGTGAGGGAGAAAGAACCACCATTTGGTAGCTTCTATGGAAAAGAGAAGAGGATTCTTTCCCCAAACCCCCTGTAAGTTCATTCTTGGATTTTCTTGGCCTAAATTGGTAGTCATTAAGCAATTTAAACCTGAGGATGTGGTCACTCCCACTCAAGCTACCATATGGCTTAAAATGGGGAAGAGAAGTTTCCCAAGGACAATTAGGGGAAAACGGAATAGATACCGAAGATGTTGATGTCTAGCACAATAATGACAATTCAGGGCCCTCCATCTTCTGGCCCTAAAAGGCAATAGCTTTCTCCTTTAATTAGTCTGTCTTCCATATAGATAAGGCAGAGTGATAAGCATGCAGTCCCCAATCTTTATGCACTGGGGACTGGTTTTATGGAAGACAATTTTTCCATGTATTGGGGCAAGTGGGATGGTCTCGGGATAAAACTATTCCACCTCAGATCATCAGGCATTAGATTATCAAAAGGAGCAGGCAATCTAGATCCCTTGCATGTGCAGCTCACACTAGGGTTCATGCTCCTATGAGAGTCTAATGCCACTGCTGATCTGACAGAAGGCTGAACTCAGTCAGTAATGCTTGCCTGCCCACCACTCACCTCCTGCTGTGTAGCCTGGTTCCTAAGAGGCCGAAGGCTGGTACCAGTCTGCAGCCTAGGTGCTGGGGACCCCTGCAATAAGACAAATAAGACTAATAAGACAAAATCCCTACCTACTAAAATTTTTTTTTTTTTTTTTTTTTTTTTTTTTTTTTTTTAAGTAGAGTCTTGCTCTGTCACCCAGGCTGAGGTGCAGTGGTGCAATCTCAGCTCACTGCAACCTCTGCCTCCTGGGTTCACGCGATTCTCCTGCTTCAGCCTCCTGAGTAGCTGGGATTACAGGTGCCTGCCACCATGCCTGGCTGATTTTTTTTTTTTATTTTTAGAGATGGGTTTTCACCATGTTGGCCAGGCTGGTCTCGAACTCCTGACCTCAGGTGATCTGCCTGCCTTAGCCTCCCAAAGTAATCCCAAAGCCTGGGATTACAGGCATGAGTCACTGTGCCCAGCCTAAAGACATGACTTTCTAAAACTGAACTGCCCAGTATTGTAACCACTAGCCGAATTTGGATAGTGAGCACTTTAAATGTAGCTGATTCTTCCAAATCGAGACGAGATGTAAGGGTAAATACATGCTGGATCTTAAAAACTTAATTAACAAAATGTAAACTGTCTTAATAATTTTTATATTGATTATATGTTGAAATGACAATTTTGGATATACTGGGTTATATAATTGTAAATTAAATTAATTCAGCTACTTCTTACTTTTGTTGCTGTGACTATTTGAAAATTTAAAATTATTTAGCTTACATTGTATTTCTATTGGGCAGTGATGCTCTAGAAAATGAAATAGTCATGGGTACTACATCAGTTGTGGAAATAGGCAATGATGGCAGTAAAGCAACAAATGTAGATTACCCCAGAAGGTGTTAAGGATTTCATTTTACAGTGAAAAACATCATTAAGATTACGTCTACTGAATCAGTCCTTTTCCTTATGTTCTGTGATACCTTGTTATGAGTTTACTTTCCAGATCTTTTTTGATTTAGTTTAGTTTGTCCATCAGAGAGTGTTTTATGTATATATACAAATATATATATATACACACACAAAAACGTTAAATGCTGCCCTTCACTGCCTGTTGTGTAGCGTACTTAGATTCTGGAAGCAAATATTTCTTAGAGGAGCATTGATAATATGGCCACTTCACTGTTAATTTTATTGTTTTCTTCTCTGTCATATGAGTATGAGGGAGGGTATGAAAGCTCACAGTAGATTCTTGAGGTTCCTTTTGATTTAAATGTTCATTGCCTTTTGATGAGCGGATGAGCAGGAACTTTGCATTCTTTAGAAACTAGTGTATCACTTCCTTATTTTGCAGTTCAAAATATAAAATCTTTGAGAATGCTTGAATTTCTAGACCTTTATCACATACTTAGAGGTATATTTGCTGATAGTTGTGCATTGATACCGTGATAGCTTCTTATTCTCCTGTGAAGAACTGATCTGAAGCTGTGGAGCTTTAGTTACCTGCTGCTCTTATTCCACCTTGCAGTGGCTATCACATTCCTACAGGTTTTCAAAACAGCTTCCCATGGAGCTCCATTCACTGAAAGATATAGCTGGCTCCATTCCTTCCAGAAGAAAGAAACTAATGCCCTGCTTGCCAACTTTTGGCTGTCTAGAATGGAATGTTATTCTGCACAGGAGGAAGCACGATAGAAAAAGGGTTCTTCTACCTGCAGGAAATCTAATGTTTGCTCTGTAGTGAAGCATGTAAAAAGTTGAAAGAAAGGAAGCAAAGGAAGAGGCTTGGTCATTAGAAGTTCAGTTTGTGTGAGATTTCCTTTTTTTTCTTTTTGTTTTACTCTATCCTGTTATACCATCATTGTATTTTAATGTTTTTTTTTTTTTTTTTCCTACCTAATGGGCAAATTGCTTTTATACTGGTGGTGTTTGGGACCCACTATGAATACCATGGAGAGACTCACTGGAAAAAAAAAAAAAAAAAAACAAAAAAACAAACAAACAAAAAAAACCAGAGAAGGTGAAAAACGTTGTTTCTTCTACTTACTTCCCATCATTTTGTGAAGGAGAGTCAGAAAAGCTGTTTTCTACACATACTCCCTTTCCCCTCTACTCATTCACAGTGATTTTTGTCAGCAAGCTAATATGCCATTGATTTTACAGTCAGGATCAGAAATATGCACCTTTCTTGACTTAACTGACTTTTTCTCCCTGAAAACAATATCATTTTTACATTAGAGAATATTTGCAAAAACTTATTATTCACAAAGCTGAATGTATTTTGCACTTGCCGGGAACATAAAGGGTTAAACTGAAGACTCAACAAAGACTGGGATGAAAAGAGGACAAGGTGGGGGCCATAGTTGTTCCCTGTAGGCATTCACTATTTTGTAGCCAGTGGCCCTTTTTTTTTGTCCTCATCACTAGCTCCTTTAACACACCTCTGGGATTTGCTCTGAGCTTGGCTGAACATTCTTAACCTTTGATTGTATAGCAGGGAGAGCTTTATTTTATGAAGCTCTTCTGATTCAGACACATTTTGACATGGCCTAAAAAGCCATTCAGTAAGTAGTAAGTGCACCCTATTTCTGAGCGGGATGCAGATTATGGATGTGTTAAGGCTCAATCAAGGTTCTGGTAGGAACTGGGACTGGTGTGAAACTCCAGGATACTGGGAGAGGGTTGAGAGTGAGGCCTGAGGTCAGGACCTGGGATGGAGGAAGAGGCTTGCAATGTCTATGGTGGACATTACCTGATAAATTTCATTTAGTCATTTTGGCATGGAACAGCCATATTAAAATGCCCTTTTCTGGCTTGTTAAATAGAAGCTACTCAATGCATGTTTGTTGAACTTAGCTTCTTAACCGATGGTATCTTTTCAACCCTGCTTCTCTTCTGTAATTTGGGCCCCACAAGTTACCCAGATTATGGCTGACAAACTTGAGTAGCACTGCACATTTTAGTCAAATGAGTCATATTTTTGAAGGAAAATGAGGTCAAAGAAAGACTTGCTGTACATAAAAAGCCCCTTTGAAATCCCCACACAACTTTTTACCATTTGGTTTCTTTTTTGCTCTCTTTTTGCTGTCACACGAATTGGTACAAGTTGTTTTAAAATCTCCAGACCTCAATTCCATGATCCCCATCCCCCCTTTTTTAAATTAAGGGTTTGGGTTAATAGTCTTTAAAGTCCGTTTTAGTTAAAAAAAAAAAAAACTGATTTTAACACCTCGTTCACTAATTAAATTGCTTTTTTTTAGTCACTATAATGCAAGATAAATAAATTTATCTATATTTTAAAAATGTATTTACCAACTTTCAAATATAGGCTTGCCTATATTTTCATTGTAGTGTGTGCATGATGCAGACCTTTGGGACTATAGCCTTTGATTTCAGCTTGTAAAATGTCAGGTCTCTTGGCATAAACCACTTTGAAATTGGTGAGACCTGAACTCAAATCCTTGGCTCTGACAAGTACTGGCTGTGTGACCTTAGGCAAATACTTATTTTTACCAGGCTTCAGTTTCCTCATTTGTAATATGGTGATACTAATGAACTTTATAAAGTTACTGTAAAGATTAAGTGAGATAATGGGATATAAATTGTCTAGCGTGAAGCCTGGCCTACAGGAAACCCTCAATACATGTTACCTAATGCTACTGTCTGAAACTGTGTCCCAGAATCTCTCTAGCCAACATAAAAGCACATTTTATGATGTAACTCTTTACATTGTAAATTGAGGAGTATTCCAGTCAATAAATATTTATAAATAAATAAACAGTCAGATGTATTCCAAGTGGAAATGGACCTGACATTTTATATTTCTTTGCAGATCTTATATTGCACTTTAAACACACCTAGAATTGACATGGAAAGACTCCTAGGAGGACAACTAGGACTAGAAGATTTCATATTTGCCCATGTGAAAGGAATCAAAAAAGAAGTGAATGTGTGTAAATCTGAGGATTCACTTGGTGTCACCATTACAGATAATGGTGTTGGCTATGCTTTTATAAAGGTAAGTTTTTTTTTTTTTTTTTAAATTTATTTATTATTATTAAACTTCAAGTTGTAGGGTACATGTGCACAACGTGCAGGTTTGCTACATATGTATACTTGTGCCATGTTGGTGTGCTGCACCCATCAACTCGTCATTTACATCAGGTATAACTCCCAATGCAATCCCTCCCCCCTCCCCCCTCCCCATGATAGGCCCCGGTGTGTGATGTTCCCCTTCCCGAGTCCAAGTGATCTCATTGTTCAGTTCCCACCTACGAGTGAGAACATGCGGTGTTTGGTTTTCTGTTCTTGTGATAGTTTGCTAAGAATGATGGTTTCCAGCTGCATCCATGTCCCTACAAAGGACACAAACTCATCCTTTTTTATGGCTGCATAGTATTCCATGGTGTATATGTGCCACATTTTCTTAATCCAATCTGTCACTGATGGACATTTGGGTTGATTCCAAGTCTTTGCTATTGTGAATAGTGCTGCAATAAACATACGTGTGCATGTGTCCTTATAGCAGCATAATTTATAATCCTTTGGGTATATACCCAGTAATGGGATGGCTGGGTCATATGGTACATCTAGTTCTAGATCCTTGAGGAATCGCCATACTGTTTTCCATAATGGTTGAACTAGTTTACACTCCCACCAACAGTGTAAAAGTGTTCCTATTTCTCCACATCCTCTCCAGCACCTGTTGTTTCCTGACTTTTGAATGATCACCATTCTAACTGGTGTGAGATGGTATCTCATTGTGGTTTTGATTTGCATTTCTCTGATGGCCAGTGATGATGAGCATTTTTTCATGTGTCTGTTGGCTGTATGAATGTCTTCTTTTGAGAAATGTCTGTTCATATCCTTTGCCCACTTTTTTGCCTCACTTTTGGATGTGGGATGGGGTTGTTTGTTTTTTTCTTGTAAATTTGTTTGAGTTCTTTGTAGGTTCTGGATATTAGCCCTTTGTCAGATGAGTAGATTGCAAAAATTTTCTCCCATTCTGTAGGTTGCCTGCTCACTCTGATGGTAGTTTCTTTTGCTGTGCAGAAGCTCTTTAGTTTGATGAGATCCCATTTGTCAATTTTGGCTTTTGCTGCCGTTGCTTTTGGTGTTTTAGACATGAAGTCTTTGCCCATGCCTATGTCTTATAAAGGTAAGTTTTAAAAAATCACAGTGTAACCTAATTGAGGATAACATTTAAGAAAATCTACCAGGCCAAAGAAAGTTAGAAATGATCTTCAGAGTGAGAGCCAGTTCAGCAAGGATGCATGAATTAGTAATGTTTCACTTTCATTTGAAAAATGTTCAGACATCAGTTTGTGTTTACTATTTTCTTAATTTCTTCCCTTTAGTTTAAACTTCCCCTAGAATTTGGAACTAACTGAAAGGAAAGTCTAACCCTGGTGCCTACTTATTATCCATGTAAGCTTTTCCATGTCTGTAGGTTTTAACATCTGATGAATTTCAGGCTTATTTCCATTGAATTAGTGTTATTTCCAGCTGTTCATACTTTTGACTGCCTTATTCACTTCTTTAAAAGTGCTGTTCAAAATTTTAGGAAGTATGTAAAGTTGGATCTCTGTATCTGTAGGTTCTGTATTAGTGGATTCAACCAACCACAGATTGAAGATAGTTGGAAAACATGGCATCTGTACCGAACATGTGCAGCCTTTTTTCTTGTCATTGTTTCCTGAACAATACGGTACAACTGTTTACATAGCATTGCCATCGTGTTAGGTATTATAATCTAGAGATGATTTAAAGTATATAGAAGGATGTAGATAGGCTATATGCAAATACTACACTATTTTATACCAGGGACTTGAACATCAGTGGAATTTTGGTATTGATGATGGGTCCTGGAATCAATCCCCCATGGATACTGAGGGCCAACTGTAATTTCTTTATTCAAATACAAAGAGAGCAACACAGAGCTTCAAAGGCAAGAGAAAAGTTTGAAATGGTGTGAAAATAAGAACTGAGGAGAAAAGTAAACTCATCTCTTAAAAATAACAATGCTATTATTGTAATAGTTATAATAATAACGGACTTATGTTGAATGCATATACTAGGCACTTTGCATACAATTTCTCACTTAATTCTCACAATTCTATTTGGTTGGTGTAATGTTTTTTCTTTGTATTTTTTTTTGTTGCAGTATAAGACATTTTTAATGTACAGCTTAATGAATGTTTACATACTCACCCCTGTTTAACCATCACCCAAATCAGGATAAATTGCATTTCTGCCACCCAGAAGGCTCATTTGTGCCCCTTCCGAGTCAATAATCTTTCTCTGCAAAGTAGCCATTATTCTGGCATCTATTGCTATGAACTTCATGTAATCATATATACTCTACTATTTTTGGCTTCTTTTGCTCAAAAAGATGCCTATGAGATCCATGGATAGGTACTATTTCCAACCCTGTTTTACAGATGTGGAAACAGGATCAGGAAGGTTAAGTAGCTTGCCCAAAGTTAAACAGCTGGACAAATTCAGGATTTGGATCTATGAGGTCTGACTTCAGAGCTGGCACTTCTACTCACTCAGCTAATAATTAATGATAGACTTCATGCAACAGGGAATATTTTATGCCTTTATTTTGTCCATATCTTGATTTGCTGATGCATTATCACCATTAAATAATCTTAGGGAAGTTATCTTCTTAACTGACTGTAAATGGGACTTTCGCTTCCCACTTGATAGAATGGCTATTTTTAGCTCTGCAAAAGATATGACTGTGCTGAAGGTTGTGTGAGTGACCAAATGGAAAATCTGTGACTGGGAAAGTCATATGGGATTATCCAAGGGAAGCTCAGGACATGAGGCATAGGCAGCAGAGAAGGGCTTGGAAATTTCACAGACGTGTGGATTTTTAAAATCTTAGCCTCTGACATTCGGAGCTTGTCTTTCTATTTTTTTAAAAAATGCTTTGTCAAACATGTGCTTGCCTCAGAGTACTAGTCACTAACCCTGTGGAGACATAGGACATGTTAGCAAAGGAGAAAGCAAGGCATAATCTAAACTGCCAACATATTGTTCAACTTAGAAGAGAGATGCATATTACACTGTACACATGGTTGATGAAATTTTTTAAAAACTGGGAGAGGATAATTTCAAACTTATATAAAGATTGCAATAATAATACAAAGAACTCCCATACATCATTTATCCAAATCTCCAATTTTTACCATTTGCTGCGTTTGAGTTTTTTGTTCTGTCTTATACACACACACATATGTACTCTTTGCCCCTTAGTACTTCAGAGTGTAATTACTAAGAACAAGGATATTCTCTTATATATAACTACAGTACAGTAATGAAATTCATACAGTCTGATATTGATATAATACTTTAATCTATAGTTCACATTATAGGCTTATCAGTTGTCCTAATTGTGTTCATTATTTTCCCCTCATACAGGTCCAATTTAGGATCATGTATTTCATTTATGTCTTTTTAGTCTTCCTTAATCTAGAATAGTTCCTCAGCCTTTTATAGGATGTCCTTGAATTTGGGTTTTTCTGATGTTTCCTTATGTTGGTAAATAGATTGTGCATTTTTGGCAGGAAAATTACATAAGTGATGCTGTGTCCTTCTCAGTGCAGCACATCAGAAGGTACGTGATACTGGTTTGTCTCATTGTTTGTGACGTTAATTTTTGTCACTTGTCTGAGGTAGTGTCCACCAGTCTTTTTCACTACAAAATTATTTCCCTTTATGATAAGTAATTGTGGAGAGATGCTTTGATATCATGAAAATATCCTGTTTCCTTACTTGCATGGCACAAATTTAGTATCTGTTGATGAGTCTTGCTTAAATTAATTTTTCCTATAATGGTGGAAAAAATGATGATTTTTATAATTCCGTCACTCCTTATATGTTTCTCTGAAAGCATTTTATGATAGGGAAAAAGCTGCCCTTATTTATTGTCAACATGGGTACATGACTTTATATTTTACTCAATGGGTTATAGTCTATTATTATCCATTATATTGATGCTCAAATTTCCTGAGACTTGGCCTGCAGGAACCCCTGTAAGTGGGCCCCCATGTCCTTTTTACATGGCTCCTGTCATTTTGTTGAGTAGGTTCTTACTTTCTAGAACACAACAAGATGTTCTTGTATCTCCTTTTCCCCAGGCCTAGAATCAACTATTTCTCTTAGAAGCTCTGATTTTTACTAGAGATTGATAGTCAAGTTCTGGTGTTAGCTATGCTCATACATTGAAGTCAAGTTCTAGTGTTAGCCATGCTCATACATTGCTACTGGAGTGCATTATTTCTAGATCCTTTCAGTGGTAGAATTAGAGAACGTGTTTATTAGAAGTTATGAATTGGGCCAGGCATGGTGGCTCACACCTGTAATCCCACCACTTTGGGAGGCTGAGGTAGGTGGATAACTTGAGGCCAGGAGTTCAAGACCAACCTGGCCATCATGGTGAAACTCCATCTGTACTAAAAATGCAAAAATTAGCTGGATGTGGTGCACACCTATAATTCCAGCTACTTGGGAGGCCAAGACAGGAGAGTCATTTGAGCCTGGGAGGTGGTGGTTGCAGTGCTGAGATCGTGTCACTGCACTCCAGCCTGGGCGACAGAGGGAGACTATGTCTCAAAAAAAAAAAAAAAAAAAAATGAACTTGTAATGATGCCTCTAATTGTCATCCTGCCCCACAGGGTTATTTCTCAGCTTCTCCATCAAAATTTTTATTTTCAAAGTCATTAAAATATTTACTCATTGTAGATATCTTTCACCTTCCTGGTTAGCTGTATTCCTAGGTATTTTATTTTTTTCGTGACAATTGTGAATGAGATTGTCTTTCGATTTGGTGCTTGGCTTGGCTGTTGGTGTATAGGAATGCTAGTAGGGATTTTTGTATCTTGATTTTGTATCTCGAAACTTTGCTGAAGTTGTTTATCAGCTGAAGGAGCTTTTGGGTCAAGACTATTGGGTTCTCCAGATATAGAATCATGTCATCTGCAAACAGAGATAGTTTGACTTCCTCTTTCC